TATTTATTAACACCAGTTGTTCACATAGAATATGTCTCTCTCAATCACAACATGTTCTCTGTAACCTAGATGGATGTTTTTCTTTACCTGTTTTTCTAATCTTGGTTGCTAAAGGTCAGTGCTCCAGACAGTCAGGTGCAAACTCACCCCTGGGAATGCTTCCTGAAGGTTAAAAACCCCAAAGTCCCTAAGTAGAGTTTCCCAGGCAGGGTTTTGCTGTGTTTTTGGCCAGAGCTGGCCTGCACACAGGCATTTTATCTATCATGGTATGAGGCAAATCCATTCATTCATGTTTCCACTGCAACCATCAGCACAACATCACTTAAGGCTTTTTCTTCTTTTTTTTGCATCTGTAGGATTATGGACTTGCTTTTTTTCTGAGTTACAAGTTATAGGATATCAGGGGTCTTGTCTTAAACACGCTTCAGTGTTTCAAAGATACAAGTGGGAATTAAACTACTAATTGCAAAAGAGACCAGAGCGTTATGGCCTCAGGGAAATGTCTACACTATTCGACACTCTTTGAAAACCTCAGATTGTGCTTATTCCATAAGGGAACACAACAGTGTCCTGGAAAACAAACTAGTGTGCCTTATTTTCTCCATCCATGAGCGGACAGTATTGTTGATGCATTTTTCAAAGCACTTGGGGGAGAAATGCTCTGTATATTTGGCATGTGCCATTGTTTGGCAATGCCATTGCCATTTGGAAAGCCACCCGTTTGTATCTTTCCTGTGATGATCAAACACTTAATAGGAGTATAAAAGCAGAGTTTTAGTTTTCAATCCAATAATTTTTGTATTTCTAAACAATTATATTTATAACATATTCAATGCTCAGGATGACTTCATGTCCCTCTACAAAGGGAAAGCTATCAGACCCTTTCTGCAGTGGCTTCACACAGAAGTGGATCACAGGTGCAGTCCCTAGGTGTGGGAGTTCCTGCTCCCATAGTGCGTTTTATGCTCCTTTTCAAACTCACAGCCCCTGTCCCAGTGTGGCATCCCCAAGAAAATGTCCTTGGCAAGGGGTCTTCAGGAGGAAACCCCACTGGATGTAAATTATCCTGGAGCTCAGGAGCTTCTTTTCTCCTTTTTGACTGTGAGGACAAGGAGGAAATCGCTAAAATGAGAGCTCTATTTCCAACATTGAAGCCAGGTTTTGGGGTAGGGCTGTAGCCATTGTGACTGCACTGATTGCCCAGGTGAGGTCATTTTGCCAGGACCACTTCATGTCTGTGGGGCTGTGCTTGTAAGACAGAACCTCAGGTGATGCTGAGTGATAATAAAATAAATGTCTTTATTTTTGATTGATGGACAAAACAGACCCAAAACCAGACAGTATTTTCCTGAAATGCATGGACGCTATTGAATACAATACAAATGAAGTTAAAACATATATATCTGTATTATGCTTCCTATCTGCTTTGTTAAGTATAGTCTTAATATAACATTTCTGACACAGACAAAAATATACTTTTTTTTTTTAAACTACATCCACAAATACTGCCCTGATTAATAGCAGACTTACAATAACTTACTAACTGCACATGGAACTTGACCAATACACTTGAAAGGCAGAAGGAAAAATGAATAACAGTTTTTTCCAATGATATTTCTATTTGAAATCCTAAATTCTTGTACTATATGAAAATAAAAGACTAAATCTGACTTTATTTGATCCACTTAATGTTTACATTCAGTTCAGGTTCACAAAAGTATGGTTTGTTTATAACACGTATACCATCCCATTTGGACAAGTAGAGATGAAATAACTTTTTTGACATGTCAGCTATGTTATCAGCCTTGATTTTATAAACACATCTCATGCAAAGGAGGTTAAACCCCCTGTCAAATAAATGTTATTCACAAATGTTAAGAATATGAAAGTAAAATGTATGACTGTGTCATGAATATTTTATCTTAAAATTGTAGGCTCAGAAACAATAACCTCAGTGTCTGAAAATGAGTTGCTTGCTTCACTGATTATAAACCAAATTTACAGCACAGTACTGCTGTCCACAAATTGCAAAAGGGGAGAAAGACTGATAATTCCTCTGAAAATAAAATCTGCTTAAAGATTCACATCCTGTTGGCATTTACTTGGGGAAGTAACCTTGGGTTTTTTTTTGTTTTGTTTTGGTTTTTTTGTTTGTTTTTTTTCCCCCACAACTATCAATCACAGATATGGCCTTTGGTTATATGAACAGCTCTGTACGAATTTAATGTAGGACAGCTGAGCTAAGGCAATAAAACCTGTAAACAGACTTAGCATGGGGCTGTTTGGTTTGGTTTTTGTAGTCCATCTAAGCAGGAATACTGCATAAAATCACACCAATTTAAAAAATTTCTATAGGATAGAAAGTGTAAAATATTCTGATAATGTTGAAAGCATCTGGTTTGAAATTTTTGGACTAACACTTATTTTTTTCACCTACCTTTTTTTTTAGCATTTTAAAATCATTTACATTTTATGGCAACAATGGAATACAAAAGAGAAAGATTTTTATTTTTCAGTCGAAATTTCTTAAATTATTCCAGCACAATCCCCTTCTCTTTTCTCTTTTTCCTACAGCCAGGCATTTTGAAATAAATAATTTAGAAATGTTGCTGTATTCAAAGCATCTGGTCACTATGAAGCATCTCCTCGTGAAATTCTAGCAATTCCTGGACAAAACTGAGGTAAGAGAAAATTTTTTAGGAAGGCCTACAGGTGACTGTAAAATGGGATCCTCTAACTTAGTTTGGAATAGCAGCATAAGGCATTTGCTACGTAAGCAGGTAAAACTGTGACTTAATATTTTCCCATAAAAAAGAGATTCAGACTAGTGGATTTGGGCTGAAAATGGAGAATAATTCAGCAGTGGCTCTGTTCTTCCCCTCTTTCCTCTATAAAGTCTATTTCCTCATCTCTCTTCTGTGGTTCATGGGGGAACTAATACTGCTGGGCTCATGTTTGGTTTGTGATACTCAGCACCCTGAATTTCATTGGTGGCCTATTCCCTCACCATGCAGGAATTTTAAATTTCTTTTCCATATTGGCTCTTCTGAGTTTTTAGTGCATATCCTGGTTTTGATTCCCTTCACCCAGAGCACACTCCATATTGGTAAGCACAGTAGTACTGCAGGTCACAATGTATATTCAGAACTGAGTTGCAATGTTACTTTTAAATGCAGTGTAAGTAGGAAAAAAAAAACCCCAACATCTCTGAAATTAATTTTCTCTACATATTAAATATATATATATGCTCTTAAGACTCCACAAAAGGAGCAAAACATGTCTAAGGATTCAACCTTGTGAAAGCTTATGTCAACATTGAATACACAAGTTGATGGCTTCTTCCTTTAGCAGCAAAATCTATTCTTACATCTCCTGTCCTCCAGTATAACTCCTCATTCTGTGAGTGTTAAAAAGAGAAATTTCACTGGTGACCAGCAACAGGAGGATATCTGGATTTCAACAGAATATTTTGCGTCATACCCAGATTGTAAAAAGAATTATTGGAGCATAACTCTTTAATTGTGGAGAAATGCAGTGACTAGAGCTCGCACTGAGAAAGGCACATTCCAATGGGGACACACACAATCATCTTGGCCGTGGGCAAGGGAGCAGCACTGCTCCTGCTGGCCCTGGCAGCGTCAGCAGAGCCCTCATCTGCCTGCTCTGCTGCTTGGGGCCAGCACTGCCATTCGCCAGCAAAGTCTGGTCTGCTCCTGGCACTGCTCAGGCTCCCTGTGACAGCCAGGAGGACAGGGGGCAAGGAAAGAGTCCAGCACTTGGTGGAAGACACCACTGTGCCTCTCACTATGTTTGTGGGTTCAGCATTCCTTTCGATTCCTCTCCAAACTGCTTTCAGAGGCAAACACTTAGAGATGTGGAAAGCTGTCCACTAAGCCAGGGTTTTTTTTGAGAAATTTTCAAGGAAATGTTATTTTCTATGGAAAATCTGGACTTTCTGGAGTAATTCCAGCATGACCAAGTCAAAAGACTTTTCGCCATTAAGAATATCTTTTTTTAGTAAGTGTAAATTGGGAATTTTCTGCAAGGAAACTCATCTCTCTTTTCAAACCTTCTTGATTCTCTTTACTTTTCCATATTTATTCCATTGGTGAAGTTGCTTGGTGTCACACTGCTTTGCTTGTGTTCATTTTGATGATAAGTCAAGACAAGGCTTCTTCTCCCAACACTGAAAAATTTTACTTAGTTTATGAGTTTTTCTATAAGAGCCATTTTTCACAAGCTGAATTTCAACTCCAGTTATTGCTCTAAAAATTTTGGTGACAGTCACTAATCACAGGAAAAGAAAGACAACACCTATATTAACATATTTGGCTTAAGGTTGTATCAGTTATAACATGATTTTAAACTGGTGATTTAATTTTAACTTTAAGAAATTAATATATCATGTTTAGCACTCCTATAAGGAATTTATTACTATTTGTGCATTTTACTGTTTCCTACAAATAATAAAATACTAGACTGTATTATTTAAATTTCTGTATGAAGAAAAAAATTACCAGACCAAAACCCCAGAGAAGTTATCTATCTGTCTTTGCTCAAGCAACTAGCTCTTTAGTAATAAATCACTTATAGCTGTGGCAAGATATTTTCACTTAATGCCAATAGAATGCTGAGTGATAATATTTCAGACTTATTGTATTATAATCTCTTCATATGATATCCTAGCTAAGAACTGTTGCACATTTTCCTCTACATATGTTTTAAATTTTAAATATTTTTTAAATTGTACAGCATATAGCTCTGGATGGAAGGAATGAGATTGAGTGTATACTTTGGTAAACACTGTGATCTAATCCAACATATTAGATAATAGCAGAAAAGAGTTCCTCCCATGGGATGCTCCTGCTCCTAGAAACAACTTAAAGAATGTGCAGCGGCATTTTATTCCCAAGTCTTGCTTTTCTTCTGATAAAATTCTTCTTACTATTCTTTGTCGAATATCCTGCTTCTCATTGTTTTGCCTGTGGCTACAAGATTTTTTAATTATCTTCAGTGTTGGACAGTTCTGGACTTGAATCAACGTAGTTGAAAGCTTCCTTGTTTGTGAAAGTCGAGCTCAAAGTTAGACTGTGTCGTGGATTCACAGGTGCAAGTTCATTTAATACAATATTGTCACTTTTTACAAGAGTTGCTTTGTCCATGTGTTCTCTACTGTATCTGGCAACAACAGCATCAAGAAAGTCCAGCTTTGGTGGCAAAGTCCCACTTTCAAATAAGTATTTGGCTAAGTAGGAGACTATGACATTAGTAAAGAAGGAGGTGAGCATAGCAAGTGTTTTAAACGGGAATCGCTGGATATAGAGATTGTTATCGTCTTGGTACCAGCCAGGGTAGAAGATCAGGGGCTGAAGGTAGAGGTATGGCTCTCCTCCAGTTATTCTGAGGACAAGGCCAAACAGGTATCCTGCAATGGCACCATAGGTGTTGGTTCCTTTAATAAATAACACACACAAGAGCTGGGGGAAGATGATGATATAAACCAGGTCAGAGCTGAGGTACCAGAGGCCGTACACTGACGAAGCCAGCAGTGCCATTGCTGTTGCTGATGCTCCAAACAGAAGAACAGTGATTCTCATGACCCACACAATTTCCCTGTCTGAAGCCTGCAAAAAAAGGGCAGTGTTAGGTGGTTTTTTAATGTCCAAACATGTATGCCTACATTTATACACAGTCAATATAAAATACTGGATTGTAAAAGAAAGCTTTGCATGATTCATTCAATAATAATTGCAAACTAATATCTCAATCTCAAGCTCAGAGAAAAAAGCCCAAGGGTTATGGTTGCCATTCCCAAAGCCATTACTCTTTGAACAAAGCAAAAAGCTTGATGACAAGTCAAAGAGAGAAAAAAAGCAGTGTAAGAAATAACTTTTAAATAGAACGGCTCAACTAGAAAAAGCCCATCAGCATCAGAATTTCTTCTGTTTCCTAAGAAAAACTGCAACTCATTAGACAATTCTGTTGCCAAATGATTTCCCAATAAATGAAAGATTAGAAAAATGTCTCATTTTGTGAAGAATCTAAGTAGAAATTATGCTTGTAGCAACAATAATTAGCTGTTTGGATAAACTGCAGTTCCATGAGAATTCTTGACAGCTACCCTCCCCAAGCCAGCTTTTTCACTTCTGTCATCAGTCACAAGCATGACTATTTTTATGATTTGCCGTTTGTTCAACATACTGTTAGTAATTAACTTCTTTTTCTAGTTATAGGCAGGAACATGAAAGTGGTGTTTCATTATGAAATTACAGTCTATGTATCACCTAGTTAAGGTCTCACCTAAAATCTAAAAGTAAAAACGAAAGCATTGTCTCACATTTTGCCGAAAGGAAAGCTGGTAAATGTTCCGAGCAAACATAGAACTTGCTGATAAAATTGAGGAGTCAGCTGAGGACATCACAGCAGCAGATACGGCACCGAGGCCGAAGAACGAGATATAGACCGGGCAAAGGTACTGCAGCACGATGGGCAAAATCATATCTGCTTCTTTTTTGGTCTTGGGGTCAGGGACACCGTATTCAGTCTGGTTCCAAGCTGCAATATGGACAGCAGTATGTTATCAGTCACGTCAGCAGCCACAACACCTCTTTACTTCATGTGTAGCAAGCTATTCATATTACCACAATTTAATGCACATTCAATGAACAAACTGCTACCAAGGCCAGACCGATGGCATTTCAGAGCCAGTGTCACACTGCTTTCTGTTAGGCAGATTTAATTCTGCTCAGCATTTTTCCTTGCCTCTCTAATAAACTTTAAATTGCTCATAAATGTAAATATAAAACAAGTCTGGGATCCATTTTTTGGCGATGTGTTTAGCTACTCTTTTGGATTACAGACAGGACTCAAAAAAATGTGAACATTTCTAACAGAATATTTTTAACAGTTTAGCTACATAGTCACTGTGATGGGGATCACTCTCACTATGACAAAAAAAGCTTGGCAAGAATATATTGGTAAAGGTAAGAAATTTCTGATAAATCAAAGAATCATTTAGGTTGGAAAACACCTTTTAGATTATCGAGTTGAACCATTAGCCCAGCACTGCCAAGCCCACCAATAAACCAAATCCCCAAGATCCACCTTTACACATATTTAAATAGCTCCAAGGATGGTGAATCCACCACTTCTCTGGGCTGCCTGTTCCAGTGCTTGACAAACCTTTTGGTGAACACATTTGTCCTAATATCCATTCTAAACCTCCCCTGCTGCAACTTGAGGCCATTTCCTCTCATCCTGTTGCTTGTGGGAGATGCACCTTGCTACAACCTCCTTTCAGATAGTTGTAAAGAGCAAAATGTCTTCCCTCAGTCCCTTTTTCTCCAGGCTAAATAACCACAGCTCCCCCAGCCATTTCCCATTATTACTGTAACAACCAAATAAAAGTGCCAGAAACAAATGCAAACATTGAATTGAAGTATTGTGTCTGTAGATATCTAGAATGTACAAAATTATTTAATTTCATCCACTGCGGTAGGATCAATTTCCTTTGGGAGAAACATTCTATAACATTTTTCTCCGTAGTCTTCTGTTGAAGGAGTCATGAGTTGAAAAATGATGCCACCTGGCTATCTAACCTATATGTCACTTATATCTAACACAAGATTTATTTTCACACACTTATTGTACTATACATTTTACATTTATTGTACTACTGATTTTTAATCATTACCTGTAGATGCTCCAATTGCACCAATCAGTACTGCAGGAATAGCCATCACAAGACAGCCAAAAGCAGCCAAGAATGACAGAACTTGAGCATATGTGGCAGAAGATGAGGAAAGAACTCTCTGGAAATATGCTTGCCATGGAATTCCTCCTAATGTCTGCAAACACAACAGCATGCTGTGACTGGGGAGTAGCTGAATCGTTTTACTATCACCATAGAGAACATATACAAGGATCACTTGAATGCTGAAAGCCATATTGCTACTTTTTAATTTATTTATTAAATAGCAGCCAGTCAGTAATAACTGCAATTTTCAGTATCACAAGCAATGTCAAACCTGTGTAAGTCCACTTAAATCCCATTCTTTTAGACAAGTTATTTTTTTTATAGAATTAGCATCAACACTTTGCCCTTTCATAGTCTCTGTAATCCCCAAGTCTTTATGAAAAGTACTATTTTCATATTTCATATTTGAAGACTTTGCCCTCCAATACTCCTCCTTCACTAAAATCAGATTAGACTGTGATACAACGTCAAAGCAAGATTTTATCTTCCTCGGTGAATGTGTGTAGTCATTTACAAAAGGCAAGACATTCTGTATGCATTGAACTCAGGAATCTGAAAAATTATTCTCCCACTGCCTTAAGCAAATACAATACCAATAGAAATGGAAGACAATGTCAAAATAAGAAAAGTTTTGTTTTATGGTGAAAACTCTTCTCTTTCATTTGAATATGTAACTGAATATCCTGATTGGACTTAAAATTATTTCTGCAAAATATGGCACAAAAGAGTGTACCGACGGTTGAAAACCCGAGTGCTAACAATTCTGTCTTGAGAGCAGGATTTGAATAGTCTCCACTAAGTAACCAAATGTCTGTCTCTAAACAGCATGGAAAAAAAAACTAAGCAAATTTCATAACCTAGTTCTATACACTAAATGAGGCAGGAGGCATTTTCACCAGAAAGTGTGTATACAGGTGTTTCATATAGCTTCATGCACACAAAGGGACTAAAATTAATGTTTCACAGGCAAGCCTGGTTTTGACTTGCTATTTATGACTGTTTTTCTTTGCAGCCTTGATAATAATGTTCCTTTATCAAAGCTTTCCAAGAATGTGTAAATTTCTTGAGCTACAATGAAACAGACAAAATGAAAAGAAAATGTGTCATAATTATCAGAACTTTCCTTTGGTCGACAGCAGAAACGAAACCTTTGGGATTACAGGAGAGAATTCAGCCATTTGAGCTAATGATCTTTGAGAGAATGCTGAATAAAAGAACATGTTTTAATAGACCAATTATAAAAAACCATGAAGATTTTTGGCTGAGAGGATTTAAAAAAAAAGCCAGAAAATGTAATTCCAAAGTTCAATAATAAAACCAGTGTAAATTTGCATAGGGACACTGAAAATGGAAAATGTTAGCATGTGTTTCTAGATCCTCTAATGGAAAGTACTTAATAACCACTGATCCCATGTGTAATATATAGGTATTAATAATGAAAGACCTTGGTTCATTCTGGCATGTGTGCATGCATGAATTTATCCATCCTGCCATCCATCTCTGCACAGCTTTTTCTTCACCTATACCTAAGGCATATTTAATAATTTGTATAATGTATTTATTGCCTTCTGCAATATATGAATTCCTCTGCCAACAATGACATCAGTTAAGCATTAGCTGTGCACTTTTATTTAATTTTAACATGTCAGCTCTTTCAGCCTGATGATATTTAAATTGCATTCCTGGCAATGCTGGCTGATATGTCACTAAAATCATTCAAATGTGTAGAAATATCAAGCAGGAGTCAAGGGGGTAAAAGTTTTCAGTTGGATAGAAACTCTTAAGTAGACTCAATTATTTTCAGCTGTCACAGTAACATAGTGTGAGTGCTTAAATGCTTCACTCCTTCATACAAATCACCACTTACCAGTAAAAAGAAATTGTCCAACCATGTGTAAATGTCAAGTGAGTTGATAGATCCAAGCCAAGGTGCTTGGTACACATGGTGCACAGCTGTGAGCCCAATATCTGTTACTGCAGGATGGGACATGGCAAAGGGGACACTGATCCACTGCAACCAAAGAGAAACAGAAAGATATTCTAAATCTGTGAAATTTTAATATTAACACTCATCTAGTTTTCTTATTCTTGCTTGCAAGAGATTGAATACCAAATTATCAAGATGACTTGCAAAAAGTCAGACTATGTCCAGGTGGAACATCTCTGAAATCCAGAGGGCTTGGTAGTGGATAGCTCACATGTGTCCTGGACAGCAGAGACACTGTGAGCAGAGAATTAATCAATGGAAACTGCAAAGTCAGCAGCAAAGACACATTTATACAACTTTGTTTTATTTTACCTAACCTCCTCATATATTGTTTACATTCTTTCCTGGACCACACAGTAGAGAAATATTTACAAATTTTCATGTAATAACATCAGGACTTAGAAGCATACAGGCCTGAGACATCACATCTGAAGGCTTGGGAGTTTGCTTTTAATTCAGTACTAAACTAAGTATTAAAAGACTGTGAAAAGACAGGATTGCTGCTGGTGCAGCCTCATCTCTTGTCCTGTAGAACTAATATTAGCCCAGTGTTACAGCACTTTCCTGCCTCACAGATGTTTTCTAGGGGTCTCTTGACCACTTTCAGTAATTTTGTTTTTTATCTAAATCAAAAAGTCTTCCCAGTGATGGTTTCTGCCAGAAGGTCCAATTCCTTCATTGGCAGACTTTATGTGCATTTACTCGCAAAGTCATTTTGCAGTTGTGTAAGTTTGTAAGTTGTGTAAGAAACTCAGCAGCTCCAGCCAAAGTGGAAACCAGGCTTTGCACTATATGGACTAGAACCATCACAAGCACAGCATCCTTAAGGATCCAGTGATATCCCAAACCATGCAAATTGCCACAATCACAACTGATCACAGTTAAGTGTCTAGGGGCAACAGGAGCAGGGAAGGGTAAACTCAAACATATTTCTCTATTTTGTTGCACATTTATTGCAATAATGTATGAATAATATTTTTTAGCAAATATTATTCAAGCAGTTTATCCCATACCATAAGATCCTGTTCTCTGTTAAACTTTGCCAGTTTAAGCAGTTGGGCAGAAAGATTCCCGTCTCAATCCCTGGCTGAACTTTTTTTGTGAAAGAGCACAAAAATTTTTCAACTGTCTTCAAGATATTTTGAGGGAAAAATAAACATATTGTCAAAATTAATGGATATTAATACTCTCCTTCCTGAGAAATTCAGGGGGAACAAGGATGTCAAACAGATTATTTTATTCTTGTTTCTGAATCTGAAATGTCAAGTGTCCAAGTGATGAGCTCCTGAACAGATGTAGTTTGGCCATACTCTGCTGAGATTTTCAGTAGGGCAAATGTCTAAAAGTCCATCTGGAGTCTGCATGCCACAGCCTAGGATTTAATCTGTACTGTATTGCAAATACATTATGAGCTTTTATAAATCATTCCAGTTCCTCACAGTAACCTAGCTCTTTGTGGTCTCAAGGACTACCTTTTCATTAGTAAATAAAACAAATCAAGACACTTTATTTGGCCCTGCAGTTTACTGAGATGTCATAATTTACATCTATATATTTAGACTCCTTTTCCTGCCAAAAATGACAACCCTGAACTATTCCTGGGAATTACTTGGGAAAATACAGAGTTTAGAATGGGGAATTAACAATACAAATGAGATGAAGAGATAGTAAATAGTGGGGATACAGGCTTAGGGAACGTCTCATGAGGCAAGATTAATATGAAGAGATGAGAATTGCAGGTGTGAGTAAACGAAGATGAGGAAGGAAGGAGAGACATGAGATTGTAAAGATAAAAACAAGGATGCACATGGAGTGGCTGGGGTAGAGGTTATGGAAGCCTAAGGAAAAAGCTGTGGCTGAAAGGAGGAATAAGGGTGATTTACAAGTCTTTTGTCTTGGATAAAAACAGGAGAGAAAACAGACATTAGAGGAAGGAGCAGCAAATCTCCGTGACAGTGGGAGTAAAAACTGCTCCAGAGCCTGGAGGAAAAGCTGGGATAACTGAACCTGTTCCATCCTCTGCTGTGACATCTACTGTGCAAGTGTCCCATGTCACCTAAACCTGCCTCCCTAGAGTATGACCATTTAAATACTGACTCTTCAGCCTCACTGATGATACTCTTGAGTTCATGAATATGGGTTCTTCACCACTACATTATTGCTGTTTATTTCAGATGGGAAATTACATGAAAACCCCAACCTGAATGAAACAAAATGCTATTAATTTATAGGTATAACAATTTATAAGACTTCTGTACAATCTTCACTTGCTTCCCACCCCCTCACCAGGTTCATGCTGATTTTAATGTTATTCCCATGGGATCAGGCTCTCTAGTGGTTCATGAGTTGATCACTTTGGAAGACAATTTCTGTTCTTTGATTTATCTCCAGTTTGGGGAATTTTTGTAATGCTTGCCATCTGTAGAAACTTAATGTTTCACAAATATTAAAATTTATGTTAGGGAAAGAGACGGTATTTTCCCCACTGTTCAGATGAAGAACAAGGATATGAGGGAATAAAATCTGGAATAACTTTTCATTTTCGGTGGCCAGTTGGAACTTGGGTTTGCTTTTTCAGGCTATTTAGCACCATTTCCATTAAATCACTTAAAGGCCATAGTCCTTGCAGTAAGATGCCACAGAGTAAGCACACACACAGAGCTGATTAGTGACCACCTGTGTAAGCACTGCTGAAGCAATTTCCCTAGAGCTGCACAAGAAGAAGTTGAAAAGCAGAGAAAGAATTCCAGGTCCCCAAGGTGCCCTTTGGTTCCTTCATCTTGAACCTCTCCATTTATGGTAGCATATCACAGTTCTCTGCACACCTGACTGTCTATTACTGCCACTGGCAAACAATGCCAGCAGCTTCTTCAATTGCACCCTTGTGATCTGGACCCTGTCACACTGATGTTTTTCAATATGGGGCTTAAATAAACAGCTACCCACTGGCATATAACTGACAGCTGATGAGGGATATTCACACTACCACACTAAAACAGCCAAGACATCTGGTCAGACTTCCTGTATTATTGTCTGTGTATGGTGGTGGAGGGAAATGAGGGAAAAACCAACAAGGTTAACTAAGTTAACAGGAGGTTAACTAAGCTGTATAGGTGACAACCACAGAAAAGAGAAGCAGTAGAGTATCAGCTCTGCAGGTCCAGTGACAGCATTTCTGGACTACTTTACCAACATCTTCCTATGTCTGATGCCTCCTTCCAGGGCCTGAGCCACAGCCCTATAGACAGACTGGGAAGGAGTCAGCACCAGTCCTATTCTGAGTTAGATGCATACTCAAGAGGAAAATTGCAAGAATGGCTGGACAGCCAGACTGGCTGGAAAAAAGTCAAAGAATCAGACCTCTTGGACAGCACTGTTTCCAAAGTATGGGCTGTACGTTGATGCAAATGCAGACTCTTTTAAAGTCAGCACTCTATGAGTCTGACTGGTTAGCAATGCTTTGCCTGGTACACTCCAGGACACACTTAGCCCTTCTAGATGTTCAGGGCAAAATCCTTGACAAATTAGGGCAAAAAAAGCCAAACTTACCAGTCCCAGGAAGATGCAGAAGAGCTGAACTACGTCAGTGTAGGCCACAGAATAAAGCCCACCCACAAGTGTGTACATAGTGGCAATCAGGGCAGAAATAATGACTGAAATATTGACATTAATGTCAATGATCACACTTATAGTCGCACCTAAGGGGAAAACCAAAGCACTGTGTGTTAGTGTGTATATCACAGCATGTCTGATGAGAAGGCCCACCTTTGTTAAGTTGCATTGGTCTGACACTTAGTAACACCACTAATAATTCCCCCCCTCTATATTCTGCACAGCCTTTCTGCACCTTTGAAGGGAATGAGAAAAGAGATGCTCCTGTTGGTCTAAGTTTAGCATCTGTCATTTTGCAGGTCCTTAGGAAACGGAAAAGGGTTCCAACAACACTTCCTTAATGTTTCTCAAGGTCTGTAAGAATTACACTCTCTTTTTCACTCTGGGAAAACCAGCTATCCACATCCCTGATTATCACAGTCTTCAGAAGGATACTGAGAATGTTCCTGCAATGCTACCAGACAGCTGCCAAAGCACTTGCAGGATGCATCCCCTGAGGTCCCACAAAACTGTGTCTGTCCAGTGTATTTTAAAGTTTTTTCACTTGGTTCTCTTCCAGCAGGTCTTCCTTGCACTGGACTTTCCCAGGCTTCTCAGGGCCCTGGGATTCCTGAAAACTGGTCTCACCAGCAAAGAATTAAACAGAAGAGGCACTGAATACTTCAGCCTTTTCCACATCTTTTGCCACCAGCTGCCCGATCTCGTTTAACAGCAGTCCACATTTTCCCTTTTGTTAGGATGAACTGTTCTTGAGCATGGAGAAGGTGATCCCCGAATATCAACCAGTTCTTCTGGACTCCAGGACAGTCTTCCATGAGATTCTTCCAAGTAGAATGTTGGAGAGGCCCACCTCTACTCTTCTGAAGTCTAGGGTTGAAGTTGTGATATTTGCCTTGTTCCCCCTTCTCAGGACCATGAACTCCACCATCCCATGAACATTTCAGCCAAATCTGCCTTGGACCTTTATACTCCTGACTTGTTCTTCCTTGTGACTGAGTTACAGGTACAACAGAGCACATCCCTACATCAGCTCCCTGATCATTTGTGTCAAGAAGTTGTTGCCAGTGCACTCAAGAAACCTCCTGAATAGCTTGTGTCCTCTTGCACTGCCCCTCCAGCAGATATCAGGATGGTTATGCATTTCCCTTAAATGTATTAGCTATTTCAAGTGATTGCAATGTTTTAAGGCCATGTTTAAAAAATTCCTCTTCTTCTAACTAGGATGATTTAAATGAAGCATCTTGCAGCAGCTTTTAGTGCTTGCAGTTATTGCAGAGAGATATTCTGGAGCACATATTTGGAAGAGTTTTGGCCTTAGAAGACAACATGATGTGTGATATGTAAGAGCTTCTGGGAGCTGACAGATGTGGCTTTTGCTGCACAATGAGCCTGCAAAGTTCAAGAATTACAGGCTCGGACCTCTTCCACGGCTTTAAGACCAATGTTTCCCATCTATAACCCTGTCAAGCAAGGAGTCATGATGGAGATCAAGCAGTGAAGAGTACTGGGATTAAACATTTGTCAGTGGGGATAGGTGTGAGAAAGGAACTAGGTTAGAATAGTTAAAATCAAAATCTTCTTTATAATCGTTGACAGTCTTTAACTGTGAGCTGCTATATAAATCTAGAAAGGTATTCACACCACTTGTGTTGAAATAAAAGAGAATGGCTTGTCCTTAATCAAAAATATTCCAAATACCCTGAGTGTTCTTCAAGTTATTCAACTCCTATCACCTCAGCATGCAGTTTTTTCTTAGTCTTTTAAGGATTTTGTGATGAAATGGTGGTAAACAAGCTCCCCATTGCTTTGCAGTTCATCAGAGCGCAGTTGGAGAGTACCTTCAAAGTTTATTTTTGTTTAAAATAGCTTATGCTAGAAGGCATTACCACATGCATGTGCATTATTAGTATGATTAGTTGGTAAAAGTCAATTACTGGTGCTTCAACTCAAGGGCTTTCTCTGTTCTCAAAGGGGTTGCTAAATTCAGGGCTGAAATATAATTAAAAACCCTGGAAGCTGATTTTTTTTTTCAGGACTGGATGAGTAGTTAAGTGATTTTCTATTGAGTCATGGTTTCACTAATTCTCCAAATCCTTTATTGAATCCTAAGTATTTTCTTCATTTTGTCAAGAAGAAAACCATTTAGAATTGAAGAATTCTTCAATTTATTGATCAGGATCTGGGCATCTGGTTTACTTCTATTATTTTGTTATTATTATTATTATTGTTATGGAATATTCTGTATATGTAGATCTCCTATAGGCCAAGGATTATTTTGTTTAGATGCATTGGAAATGCTGTTACATATCATTAAGGAAAATTTTGACTGGTTTCTCTCATCCCAGAGATGTAAAAGAAAAGCTGTGTCAGATTTGATCCAAAAGGCACTTGCAATCACTAATGTCACCCTCACTATTAGCAGAAATTTCTTCCTAAATCCTTTCATGCTCTTTGAAGAGGGAAAACTTAAAGGAATGTGAAAATGAATAGATACTTTGCATGTCTTCCCCTTGTCAAAATATGGAGAGGTAGCATTACTAGATTTATATGCTAGTTACCGTGGGTCTTAGAAATGTCACAGTCTGAATCATTTGGCTTAAATAGTTACCATTTGGAGCCAGAATTTTAATGCATTTCTGATATTCTTAATAATTTCTACCTGTAATAAATTAATATTTTACTGCTTATTCCTTACCTAAGGCAGAGAAGATGGCAGCAGCCCAAAACATTTCTCCCATTAAAGCTGGAATAAATAGTAGTCCTCCCATCCTTTTTCCATAAAGCTGCTGGAAAGGGTCCAGCATTGTCACATAGCCTTTGGATCGCATGGGTTTTGCAAAAAAAAGGCCACCTACAAAGAAAAAGCAGCATAAGACACCAGCTGCTGTTTAGAAATGAATTACCATTAAGGGATAAAACATTTATTGTCAGTTAAGGGTACAAAAAGGTCACCAATACTGTTTGTTTGTTTGTTTGCTTGTTTGTAAGTAAAAAGTACAGTTAAAATATCCTGTGGAAGCTCTTACATATGTCTACAGAATTACTTAAACACACACATTCCATTAGTATCTATAGTCTGATAATTTAAAAAAAGTTTTTTCTTATTTTTTTCTGGCTCAGTTTATGTAATCTCCCATTATGGATGCTGTCAGAGTTTTGTCTAATTTTGGATTAGCCTAAAGCAATGGCTTTTCTACCTAATCCTCTTGATTTCTAGACCAGAATACAGCACGAAGTTTTACACAGTCCCACTCTAAAAATAAAACTGTCTGAGATTCCTGAATCAGAAATAGAATTTCACATGTGAAATGGAATAGAAATAGAATTTTGGAATAGAAATAGAATTTCACATGTGGTTTAGTGCACACACAGTAAATCTGATTCTTTCAGGACAATTCAGATTTATTATTATGTATGTTTGGAACAACTTTACTACACCTGTAGGATAGGTCAGAGGTCTTCTGAGTTCTGTCGGTGTCAGATTTCATGAATATTTGTCATACAGTTATTTCACTTATGTATTTTAAGGAATTTTGTTACATCACAATTCTGCTCTGCCTGGCTGGCACACGGGCTGGGTATGTACATAAATGTGCAAAGGCCTCCCCTTCTCAAATTCTTTCTGTCTTGAGAAAAAAAAAAAGGACCTATCTCAGGAAGGCAGAAAGAGCCCTTGTATGGAAACCTGTGTAGTTGAGATCTGCACATGACTGTAACTAAGTAGACTTCTACCACAGTAAAACTGCTGTAAAATAATGAACTGGAAACCCTGTCAGTTCCCAATAAGACACACTGTATGGCATTTGGCAACCCTTAATTAGGTTCCTCATGGCAAGATATGCCATTTATTCATCATATTGTGCAGAAGATTTTCCAAATTTCTATGTATTGCCTTTTATAACTCATATTTCTTCATTTCATCAAGTTCTCTGAACAGAAGATACCGATCACACACTGTCATCCCAATTTATAGTGCTTATGTGAATGCTGTGTTTAGGCAGGTGGATGCAGAAACCTCCCAGCTTTTTTTTTTTTTTGGTGATTCTTCGTTTGGTAATGGATCCTTTTCCTATTCTACTTGTTATGCCATCATTGCAAAATAAAATTAAAGAAGAATAAAAAGCCATAATCCATTAGATGTTCAAACACCTGTCAAAGGAAATAGGAGGTATTTTAAGCTTTAGAACTAAACTGCTTGAAAGAATAAGGAAAATAAAATTATATGGAGAAAAAAACAGGGAGATGATATCAATCTTAAATACTTCCTGTCTGAAGCAGTAATATTTCTCCCAGCCTTGTTTTTATAATTTTGATTATTTATTTTTTTAAAGAAGGATAAAGAATTCCTCCCCACAAATCTTCATGTACAGATTATGCCCACAGAAATTCTTTCCTCTCTGTGCTCTGCAGAGAGATAAATGTTTACACATACGGACTGCTTTTCTCTGCAGTAGCCATTATAATTTTCAGAAATACAAGTCTTGGTATCTATAGACAGCTGAAAACAAGCAGAAAGGCTGACTCTTCTGGACTATTGCTAATTTGTGTCAATTCTGCATTGGAGGATGCTTGTGACTCCAATCCTAACAGCTGGTTAGTGACATCGATGGATCGTTGCTGGAACTCTGAAGCCTGGGAGTTTTGAACTGGCACTGACCCCCAGAAGAGCACTGCTTCTGACTCAAGGCCTTGGCCCAATTTAAGTAATAGAGTTAAAATCACTGGTTTATACTTTAAATAAAAGTGTGCAATATCACATAGTAAAGAGTTTGTAATTTGGGGTTTTAGAATAGAGTAATAAATATAGGACAAAATGGAAGTTCTGAAGCATTGGCTTCTTCTTCCTTCTTGTTTTCTTCTTCTTAGTTTTAAGTAGTGTTTTTATAATTAAATAGAAAATGCCACACTGCAAGTCACAGGTGTTTAGTCATTAAGTAAAAAATATAAATAATATAAATGTTAGTTTTTAATTAAATAGTTAAGCCAGCCTTAAAAGACCTTGTAACAAGCAAGATACACCTCCATTTTTTAGCTTTTAACTTATTAGCTAAAAGCACTGTAACACTCACTGTACTATAGATAAAAATTAATAAACAACCAAATCCAAACACAAAATTAATCTTTCATGCTTCAATCCCAACCCTAACCAAAACCAAACCAAAACAAAAAAGTAATCACTAATAGATTGTGACCCTCATGACCTCCTAGTGACACCAGGCAGACATCTACAGCCCCTGCTTTCCTTCCAGGAGATAAAGATGCTCTCAGGGACGGTGACCACTGCCAGAACTGGGACTCTGCACAGGCCAGAGAGGAACATCTACAGAGGGGAAAGTTTCTGCCTGGGAAGTGAGGATAACTAGGACAGGCCATTGGAAAGCATTTTCAAGGGGAAAAAGGGGAAGGAAAACATGTTGTATAGGAAGAAATAAAAAGTGAAAGAGGATCTGGATAAGCAACCAAAGGAAACAAAGGGGCAAATCAGGTAGGAAGACCCTGAGAATAGACTGAGAGGTCAAGTAACATTAGAAAGGTGAGTATATCAGTCATGCTAAGGAAATATGAAAAACACAGGATCTTTTTCCTGTAATAACATACTTTTTAAACAGTTGCATCATTATTGCAGCATTAAAACTTAAAATGCTGTCTGTATCTTACACTCTGACTCTGCATATATCAGGATTCTGCATTTGCATTTGGACATGTCATGTAGAGTTTTGTACCACGTTTAAGAGTTTGCATGTTCCAGTTTTAAGGAAATAGTTTCCAGTCTAAGGAAATACGTGCTACATACTTCCTACACAAAATTAGAAAAGTTACCTAGATTCTTAGTGGAGATCTTTAAAGTATAAGCACTTTCCCAGCCCAAAAGGATGTTTGTCTAATTCCAAGATTATTAGGTGCACTGATACTTGGGCACCTGGGTCATGCTCCAGATCATATAAACAATTAAAGAAAACTTGAATCTATAAAACTTGGTATTGACAATTTAAACACACCTCCCCACCCTGTACTCCCAACCCCCTCCCCCTCCTCCCAAAGAATATGGTTGTAATAATCAAATAGGTCTTGACAAGGAATTTAGGAGACTTGAGATATCAAACTATTTATAGAGATTTTCTGTTTTTTTTTTTTTTTTTTAATAGCCAAACGTACCAGCAGAATGGATCCAGTTTACCTCAACAACCTTTTATCAGACCCTTGTTTTTTCATTTCAAAGAATGGACCTTATATCAGAACTCTTTAAAATGAGGGACTATTAGTATTAGTCTTTGCTTACCTAAAATCAGGCTAAGGGAATATCCAATAGGGGCCTGAGCCCAAGCTAGACCATAGTCTGGGACATACACAGCTTCTGCTGTCCCATTGATGTAGCCTCCTCCAACCCATGTGGCTGAAAAGGAAGAGATGGAAAAGTCTTTAATGTCCATAAAGAAAGAAAAGCTCACACGCTGTGTAATAAAATTGTAATTATGTATGATATGGTTATTTTTTATTATATGAACAATACAAGTGCCAGGCATGGCATCCTTTTATTAAAAGCAGCCTTAATTTGAATTTACAACCTAAGCATATGAAAAAAGAAGTCAAATAGACTGAGGTAATCATCAAATTGTCCAAGTCTTTGTATAGTCAGTGAAGATGTGAGGGCTGAGTCCCCCACTACTTATTTACCATTACTATTTTGTTAGTGTTAGTACAAATGAAGGAGAGGTATAAGGGTGGAGTCTGAAGAAAAACATTTAAATTAGGCAAAAGTTTAATGAACACATTATTTAACAGGACCTTCATGAAAAAAAAAGCCTTTTAAACCCTGTTAAATTTTAAATTGTTATGACATGAAGCATATGAGTTCTTGAAATATTTCTATCTAGAGCTGTGGTGCTTTTTTTGTTTTTGTTGCCATATAAGTTCTAAACTTTATTTCATTTATTTTATGCTTCCTTGAGCCATGTTCAATAAGGGATATGTGCTATCTCCAATATTTTTGACCATATCTCTCTCTCCAAAAAGCAGTATTTTTAGTATACCAACCTCTGGCACTTAATGAATGGATTCTCTGCCTTTAAGGGAAGTTTCTTCATTTGAGAATTTGGAATCAACAGTGAGAGAGAAAAACTCCAACACAGAAATGTATTGTGATTACATCTGCAAAAAATACTTCATAACAAATGAAGTAATAAAGTTTAACTCTTCCTGTTTGCAAATTCCATGCAAAAATTTTTAGAATTATCTCTAATGTATAATGAGGTAGTTTTATAAATCTAATTTTGCAGTTCGAACAAGGGCAGACAGACCATTACAAGTCCTAGATTTTTGCAGGGATGTTTTGGTTTGTGTCAGAAACCTTTACTTTTTAATAGAGTAGTTAAGGTTTCCATGCAAAAATGTTCGAAATGTTCCTTTAAACATTCCTCAGAATTTTTCTATCATCCAGCATCGTACAAATAAACTTGATTTTGTGTTTAAGACAAACAATTGGAGAGAAAAACAAATTCAGAAAATTTAATAAAATTCCTTAAGAAATTGCATTAAGAGCTAAATAACCACTCTTTTCCGCTTGACTGTGATATCTCTCAAGTACTACTAGAGGGTATTTTGCTGAATTTCACAATGGCTTTAGAATCACAGATTTCCAGCAACCAGAGAATTACAATTGTTCCCCTTTCAGCCATTTGAAGCCAAGGAATGGACCATTCTGTTGTTGGAAATGGTATAATGGATTTTTATGAGGGGTGTGCATGCAGAGAAAGACTGCAACAAAAGAAGTGACCCAAGGAGACCTGTTACGAGTAGATTTTGGTTATCAAGAGCTATTTTGTACTACAGAAATAAGGGGTGAGTGATGCCCATATGGGACCATATGGGGAAGATGGGTTAAGACTGATTCTTAATGAGAAGAGCAAGGATACATAATCTACATAAAAAGTTGTCAAATATTTGGGATTTTGTGACTCTTGACAGTGTAAATTAAGATAGAGTATGATACTTTGTTTACCAGAGTTCTAGAATTATACAATTGTTTGGATTAAAAGAGACCTTAAAAATCTATTTCAAACCCCTCTGTGATGGGCAGAGATGCCACTCACTAAACCAGGCTGCTCAAAGCCCTGCCAAACCTGTCTTTAAACACTTCCAAGGATGAGGCATCCACAACTTCTCTGGGCAACGTGTTACAGTGCATCACCATCCTCACAGTAAAGAATTCCTTCCTAATATATAATCTGAATCTACCCTTCAGTTCCCTGCCTCTACTTCCCATCCTATCACCACATGCCCTGATCCTCATCTTTTCTATAAGCTCCCTTTAGGTACTGTAAGGCTGCTATCAAGTCTGCCCAGATCTTTCTCCTCTCCAGGCTAAACAAGCCCACCTCTCTCACCCTGTCCCAGATATCAGTGTTGAGCCCAGTCCTGTTTAATATCTTTACTGATTATCTGGATGAAGGCATTAAGTCTACCATTAGCAAATTTGCAGATAAGACTAAGTTGGGTCAGAGTGTTGATCTGCAGGACTGTAAGATATGGACAGGCTGGAGAAATGAGTTTCAACAAGACCAAGTGCTGACTTGGTCATTTAGACTTTGGTTACAACAACCCCAGGCAGTGCTACAGGCTGGGGACAGAGTATCTGGAAAATGGTCCAGCACAAAAGGACCTGGGGGTGCTGGTCAACAGCAGCCAAACATGAACCAACATGTGCCCAGGTGGCCAAGAAAGCCAAAGGCATCCTGGCCTGTATCAGCAATAGTGCAGCCAGCAGGACCAGGAAAGACATCATCCCCTCGTACTCAGCACCTCTAGTATTGTGCCCAGTTGTGGGCCCCTCACTTTAAAAAGGACATTGAGTGCTGAAGTGTGTCCAGCAAAGGGTGACAAGGCTCGTGAAAGGTCTAGAAAACATGTCTGATGAGGAACAACAGAGGCAGCTGGGAATGTTTAGTCTTGAGAAGAGCAGGACCTCATTGCTCTCTACAACTGCCTGATAGGAGGATGCAGTGGTGTGGGGCCAGTCTCTTCTACCATGTCTGCAGTGAAAGGACTAGAGGAAATGGTCTTAAACTGAGACAGATGAGATTCAGATTAGATGTTAGGAAAAAAAATGCTAACTGTTAGGGTGGTCAGGCATTGGAATAGCTTTCCCAGGGAGGTGGTGGAGTTACTGTCCCTGGAGGTGTTTAAGAGGTGTCTGGATCTGGCACTGAGTGATGCGGTGTAGTGGTTTTAGGGGTTACGGTGCTAGTGCTGGGTTGACAGTTGGACTTAATAATCTTAAAACCTGATGATTCTACAGTTCTGTGATTCTAAGTTTTTCTTAACAGGGCTGCTCTTAATCCACTGATCACTTACCCTGTATCAATGTTTGCCCTGATCCAGCTGGAGGATCTTACACTTGGCCTCTTACACTTGGCCAGGTACCTCTGTATGGGATCCCTTCCCTCCAGATTACCAACCACAGAATTCACTTAAGTGTCATCTGCAACCTCAGTCCCACTGTCCATGGCCCTCAAAGCTGTTGAATAGTACTGGTCCCAATATGGATCATGGATCCCTGAGGGACACCACTGTCTATGGAAAAAACTGTGACTACCCGGGATGTGTGTTGTCTATTGCGTCTCAAGTAGCATAGTTTTATGGAATAAGCACCTGTATACAATATCAAAAAGTAAATATTTAGAAAGAGAAGCATATTTATTTCTGCCCCCAGAAAATGCATAAGCATGAATTCTACATAAATTATATACTTGGTTAGAGGTGGGAATAATATCCCACAGTCAAGGACAGATGTCCAACATTGCTGCAGCTGTGGTGAAGGGGCCTTCCAGTTCCAGCATTGATTTGCCAGTGGTTGCTACAGAGGTGTCAGGTGTTCTCCAAGGAGAACCTGGATGCCATACCTAGCTCCCTGATTTTCTTTTGGAGGAGATCAAGTCAACTCCCTTCTGTGTGATGTTGTAGGGGTCATTACTCTCCACTGTCTGCCCTGCAGACAGATATTGCTGTGTAAGGTGTCATGAAGGATTTAGCTCTTATTTTTAATTCTATTTCTTGATTTCTGGATTGGGGTTTAAAAAATTGCTGATAATCAATTTTTCTGTGCACATGTTCTAGAACACCTATCAAGGACCACAGAGCTCTAGGAAGGTGTTGTATGTTTTTTTCTGAGAGGGTGAATGGATAGTCAGCACGTACACTGACACAGGTAAATGCATTAGAAATGAAATAAAGGGATAAGATAGGATGGGATTTCAGCCTTTTGATATTAATTTTCTGATCCTTATTTGCTAAGCCACAATTTGAAGTTAGTTTAATACGTTTATTTTTGGTGAAATTCTTTTTGTTTTTACCTAATTCCTAAAAAGGAATACAATATTTAATAATCTATAGAAGCATTCATGTGGTAATCTATTTTAATCTTCTCTTTGCCTACCATCTGAAAACCAAAAAAATGCAGCAAATACCAACATCCATTTAAAATATACACCGTAAAAAATGACCAGACAAATACTGACTGTAAGGAGTGTAGTTTTTCTTCTACTTCCTGTGAGACACACAGAAGTTGATCTTTGAGTTCTTGATATATAATGATATATACTAGGAAACCAAATTTTTTGGCACTTCTTCAGGAACAATTCCTTGTCTGACCGCTCAAATTATTCAATAATTTCTTATCCAAGGATTAGAATAAAATCGAATTGCGTAATATTTCTTTTTCATGTGGAAGAGTACGTAGCTCCATCCAACTAAAATGCAAAAATTACATCAATAGATTATTACCTTTCAGGTCATGTTTGTGAGAATTTAGTTATGTAATCTTAAGTATTTCCTTTGCGGTTTAAACTCAATCACCAAAATCAAATTAGATTCAATTTTGATGCACTTCTTCAAAAATTCATTCACAAAAATAAGGAAGGCTAGTATTTAATGCAAAATTTTATCTATAATTATGTAAAATTTATACACAGATTAAATGTGTCTACTATGATACAATGTTATTTCATTATAATATGAGCTGCTGTGATCCATCCACAATTCAACCTTTTCACTCTTTCTATTTTCTTACTTGCAGTCACACTCAACTTTCAACAGGCTTTGTGTTCAGCATTTCAGTAGCTGGTTTATACAGCTTTTTCTTCTTCAGGACCATAGCATATATCCAAAAATATCCACAGCTGTTATTCATAGGTAGTGCTTTAAGATTTTTCAATGTTGTTTAGAAAATCAGCTATAATTACTCTGGAATCTTGACTTTGATGCTTACGTTCTGAATTTTATTTTAGATTTACAGGCTAAGTGCTGTCATCCTCTCCAATAAGTAACCCTAGAAATTTCTACCACTTTCATAGCCAATACCCATGGAACATTGTAGTGTTTGTCTCAGGCAAAAATAAGAGAATAAGGCCTCATGCCATAACCCAAAGTGCTTCAGGTACACACAAACAATATCCTTTCTGGAGATCTTTAAAACAATGCTTATTTTCCTTTTGTGGGGTAGGCTTTGCTTTCTAATTTAAATTTAGACAATTAAACCTGAAAAATGTAAAGATGTTGGAACTGTCATGTATGGTGAATAGTCATGGTTGTGAGGCGCAAGATCAGCATCGACCGTTTTTTAAAAAGTAAGTATGCCCTCTAACAACGTGTCCATTTTGTAGAAAATATCAACCTGTAAAAATTATTGTGGATTTTCATCAGCTTATGTTGATAATTGTTTTGTTATGACTTTAGAAATCGAGTGCCCCAAACACCCTCACGGAGACAAAACTCGGACTAACCCCTGGCTCAGCAGATTTGTGCCCAGATCTTGCTTTGTGCACCAGCCGTGGTTCGCTACGACTGAAAGATAGCTTAGGTGCCATATCAAGCTTTAATTGCCAGATTTAAGGAAGGAACAGGGGAGAGTGCCAGCCCTGACAGTATAAAATCCATGATAGTTTTAGCTACCCAAAGATTTTAGGATCAGTCTGATATTCTACTGCAAAGATGAGAGACTGCACCATCTCTAGAGCTTGCACAATACAGGATGTACATGTGTGGGTGTGAATTGTGGTGGCTACAGAATGACTGAGATATAGGAAATCCCAGTTCAGGTCACATCTGTCCTTCAGCTGTTGCACAAAATATTCCTGCAAGATAGAATTAAGGAGACCAGAATTTGTATCTTCTATATGCAAAGACATTAGTCCTAGCCACTTCTGTGGGAAATGCCTTTTTTTTTATCTCGACTCCCCTGATTTAATGTCTATTGTTTTGAGGCAACCAATATTTCTGCAAAATATTCTGGTTTCAGTGCTCTTGAGAACATTTCATTCAGCAGAAAGCAGTCTAACCAGCTCTTGCTATGAGCAGAGTCTCCCCATATCTTATGCACCAATAGCCGGTGGATGCGTGATACAGTAAATTACAGGATAGTGCAAAAAGTAGAACATCTGACTGTATTCAAACTTTATTGACTTTTACAAACATTCTTTACTCAATATCTAAATATCCAGTTTTTGAATGAGCAGAATGCCCCTGCAAAATAATGTGAATTTATCGTAGATAAAGAATGCAGAGTTTTGGCCCAAGTTTTACCTTGCTCCTCCTTATTAGATAATTGTGAAAGCGGAAGAGAGCAAAACAGCAAAACATAAATACAGTCAGATAAATTAAATTTGACGATTGAAAGGGCTTTGCCTGAACATGGTGTAGATTAAATTAGGAACAAAACAAAAATAAACAAAACCCCCAAACAAAACAAACAAACAAATGCCTAAAAATTAATTTGCTTTAATATAATGGTGGGCGAATTCACTCTTCCTATAATGCATTTTTGTTCCAATACCATAATATAAGTTTTGAGATTTTGGACAGTATTGTGAATATTTTATTTACCCAGGTAAGACGGCTGGTTTGAGTGGCTCTGGGAGTCAGAGAACACTGTTTACAAAATCAGTGAAGAACTCTTCCTTCACCCAGCTTTTTCTTACTGATACTACTATTGAGAGTAACGCATTATTTTGTCCAACTGCTGAAAAAGAAGCTAAAAGAATCCACAAAATAAGTTTGCTGAAATCTGTACAATTACAAGTTTGCAGGTATGCCAGTTTTCTTTTAGAAAGTTAATTTATGTTGTACACTCTCTCCTTCCCACCAGTCTTTTTTCCCTACAAACTTTGTTTTACTCAGATGAAACAAATCCAAGAATAACACACAAATTTGGATGGTTTTAAAAACAATGGCAGTTATTTTAAAACTTTCTAATAAATCTATATTAATTCCATACTTTTGTTCCAAACATATCTGATCTACAGATGAATATGGAATGAAAATATATGAAAACTAATGAAAATATATTCTTCCTGTAAGATTGACAAATATTAGTTGTTTTTATACAAATGCTACATTTGGCTGTTCAGTAAACAATTGGATAAAAAGTTTAAAATAAAAAATATTTTCCCCACTCTGCTTTACTCAACATGCAGATTGCAATTCATTCAGATGGAAAACTGACAAGTTATACACTGGCTAGGAAATAAAAAGGGGTTTTTTTGTACATACCTGTCATGGTAAATCCACCAACTAGCAAACCAATGTCTCTTCCACCGACTATGATAGCTTCGCTGCGATCTCCTTCACTGCTGGTGTTCTTGGTTTTCCAAGCAGCCCATATCCCTACTGCCAGGATTGCCAGGTAGAACACAACTATGGCCACTAGTCCCTCCACATGGAAAGCCATGGTGAAGTCCCAACTGTTTCTTTTATTGCTATTTCATTAAGACCTCTGCAGAGAATGCAATAATAGGTCTGCTTTTAACACGTCTGCTTTTTAGAATCAGTGGACAAAACCCCTCAGATGGCTATCAAAGAGACAATTCCGGTGAATTTCTGAAATGAGAATTTCAGAGGTAATTGAGATTAATGTCACATGCCAATTAAAACGCCTGTGGAGCAACAACCAGTGGTTATAGACTCTGAACACAAAGGGGAATGGATGACGTGGCTGAAAGCTGCACTGTCCTTAGAAGGCAGTTTTTGAGCACTGAATTATTTTGGTATCACCAAGTCCTCGATGTCTGGGAACTTTTCAGTCAGACAGTACTTTGGTACAAGAGATAGAAGATATTGGCCATGTGGACTATTACAAAAATCTCTGTCTTGAAGACAAAACTGCTGTAAGTAATACTAGAACTACGTACAAGTAATAGCTACAATAGCAAAACACATCTTTTAAGTATTTGTATTGGAATGCTGAGTCTTGTTCCCCTTGTAATATCTCCCATACTTTAAAATCTGCGATTTCTCTTCTGGAACATTTAAATGTCCAGCATGAAACGTACGAATCTGTTCTCTCACAATACGGGAAACAAACGGAAAGCCTAAAAGCTGTCGGAAGGCAGAAATGTTGAAGAATACGAACTACAGCGGGGGGAAAACTCCCGAGCGACGCAGAGACCGGCAGCCCCGTACCCAGCCTCACCCGGAGCCCCCTCCCCATCCCGGCTCCGCGCCGGCAAGACCCGTCCGCGCTCCCGACGGCTCCGCCAGGGCCAGCGGCCGAGCCAGCCCAGCCTCCCGGGGCTCCGCGAATCCTCCGGGGTCCCACCGGCCGAGCCAGCCCAGCCTCCCGGGGCTCCGCGAATCCTCCGGGGTCCCACCGGCCGAGCCAGCCCAGCCTCCCGGGGCTCCGCGCCGCCGCCCGCGCCGTCGGGCACGGAGAGGAGCCCGGAGCCCATCGCCCACCTGCGCTCCGCCGCCGCGCTGCCCCGCCGCCCGCGGGGCTCGGCCGCCCATCCCGCGGGGCGGTGTCGGGGCCGAGCCGCCGGGGGCTTCGTCCCCGCCCGGGGCTTTGTCCCCGCCGGGGGCTTCGTCCCCGCCCGGGGCTTTGTCCCCGCCCGGGGTTTTCCCGCTGGCGGGGGGAGGGAAGGAGCGAAGGGAGGATCGGCTCTTGCCCCGCGGTGCCGACGGTGCGCCGAGCGCTGAGGCTGCGGCGGGGGTCTCGCGGATTAAAAAGAGGAAAATCTCTTTATAAAGGAGGAGGGTTCAGTGGGGTGAGAGGACCGCGTCCGTCAGAGCTGGGGGGAGGAAGGGGGAAAGACGTCAGAGTGATTGGGGACGTTGGGGGGAAGTAAGGATGACTCAAGGGAGACTGATTGTCGTGTCATGGCAGGGAAGCAGGGTTAGGAAGTGAAATTGAGGTGAGAAGACAAAAGGGAGTGAGGGGACGCAGGAAGGAACAGGATCATATTGAACCAAGGGGAAAGAGGAAGAAAAGAAAGGGCTGATCTGAAAAGACATATTGAGAAGAGCTATGGAGAAAGGGAAGAGAGCAGAAGTAGGGGGAGGGAAGGTGAGCTCTGTGCTCCCCTTACCGTCCCTGGCAGCCTTTCCTTGCCACCCCTGGGCCTAGCACTGGGCAAGCACCAAGGTATGTCCAAGAGAGGCTGGTCAGGACCATCTTTTGCCACGCCTCCCTCCCAACCTAGTTGAACACACGTTGGCTTTTCCCAGATCTGGGACAGCTAGTTCTTTGGGAGAGCTCCTTTTTTTTTGCTGTGCCTCTTATAAACCTCACCTGCAGAGCTACAGTCACACTTTCTACTTTTCTTACATACTACGGTCATACAAGCTTTCCTGTGCTTGCACTTTTGCTGTCTGTCTCCAGACAATGCTGGACAGTAGGTTTCTAAGTGCTGAGAATAAGGGTACACGTGCAAAGAGGACCCACATGTGCCCTTGCCCCAGTTTTGACAAAGGGAAGATCATGCTGAACTGTGGCATTCTCTGTCAGCTCTTGAGAGGCAGTTAACATGGACCATTGGCAAATTGAAAAGCAGAAATAAAAAGCCCACAGGAATACAGAACTGCTATTGGCAAAAGAACTAACTTGAAGCAGAAAATCTGAAATCATCCTAGATTCAAGAAGAAAACTGCAATATGGGAAGATGTAAAATCAGAGAGGAGAAAGGTGGCAATTGATAAAAGCTCTGTCCACTGCAAAGAACAGCCCAAGGACTGGCACTTTCCTGCATATTTGCCAACTGCGTGGCCAGCTTGGCTAGCAGAGCAGCTTTGTCTGCCTGCTCACGAACTGCTGAGCACACCACACCACGTTAGCCCCAGCCGTTTATTATGTGCCTCACAGGCAATAAATTATGATTGTGCACTCATAAATTGATTGTGTGCATAAGACTGCTTTCAGGTCTGGCCTCAGCTGAGAAACCCAAATAAAAGTGGCCAAAGAATTAAAGGTTAGAAATGTTACTATTTTTGTCTGCCAGACTCATGGGTTGTTGCATGATTCTAATGGTGTAATGCTTGCCTTGGGAGTGTGCAGTAAAAACCTCCTCCCAGTAGTAGGCAGCTGAGACATATCTTAGACACAGGTGAGCATCAAGGCATCGCCTAAACAGAAATACTGCCATGGAGGAAACACAGATAGGTATTTAAAGGCATTTTTTATACCTATATATATAAAAAATATATATGTCATATATATATGGAAACAATGAGGAAGAAAAAAATAAGTTCTAGCAATTAAAATATGATAGAAAATGCTTGGATGCTAAAACAGATGTTAAACTAAATTCACACAAAGTTTTAATTACATTTTAATCTGGTTTTGTTCAGCTTAATACTAAGAAAAATGTCATGACAAAGCAAAGCATGGCTCAAACCTGTCTTAGGCAAATTTAAAACATATTAACCAATGGGGAAAAAAATCCTTTTTGAAATTAAATCCCATCTCTGATCTTCAATGAAGACTATAACAAATTTCTTTTCTCCTTAGTGGGTTGAATACTTTTTTGTGGAACTGGAATGGGAAAACTATTTTTTATTTTAATTATTTCTAGAAAAGAATTAAATAAATTATATTTAAACGAAATTCATTAAAACAAATCCTAAACACCTATTATTTTTAATTTTTTTAAGTGATTTTTAATTTATGTTACTCTTGTAACAAGTTTTGTCTCTTTGATGCTCTAGAATGATTTGCAAGTGTTCACCCAATGAGTCAACTCTGCCCATGTTTTGCCTTACATGTCTACTTTACTCTTGTAGTTACTTAACTACAAATAAGTTAAATTACACATCTTCTCATGAGATTTCCATTTAATCTCTGGTTCCATTAGTTGATATGGCTTTGGGCTTTGAAATTGCCTTCACCTGGATGTAGCTGAGAGGGACTGAGATAATTATTTTAGTGAATATTAGTTGATTTAATAATTTATTATCTCTTCTTTTCTCATGTACTATTACTCTACCAGGTAGATTTCTAGTGCTTTCTTTTGGGAAAGGACTGTGCTACGCTGCATCCCTGTGTGCCTTCTGCCAGCTGCACCCCAGCAGCATCCTTCAACCCCACCCCACAGAGCTCGGTTCTCAGCAAATTTTATGTCCCTTGCTTTGGTGCTAGAGATATTTCATGCAACTGCAAGACTGATTCCATATGAGACCCGACCACATTTCCAAAGAGAATTCCTTCTGCTGTTGAAACACTCAGAACTGAGGTAATCTCTTCCAGAAAAAGAGGCAATACATTGGTAGTTTTTTGTCTTCTAAAGCAATTGCACTGCATCTAAACATAATTGTCTTTTTTAAAAGAACATAGCTTGAAAATATGCTGTTTGAAAAGAAATTCTGAAACTTAGTTTTATTTATATTTAAGAAAGGACAAACTTTGTAGGACACTTACTAGAAAGGTGTCCCTGCCCATGGCAAGGGGATTAGAACTAAATGATCCTTAAGGTCCATTCCAACCCAGACCATTCTACAATTTTATGAAAGTTGTCACCGACTCCTGCTTTTAATCCCATTTTTTGTTACACCTATTAAGGAGTGTTTCATGGAAACAACAGAAGTTAGCTTTCTTGTATAATACCTGTCTTCTAAGCGAAGATGTTACAATATTATAGAGCTTTATTGAGTCCACACATGGTTATTTGGATTCCCTCTTGGTAATAGCACAGATTTTTGAATTTTTAAATCTATATCCATGACTGAGACTTTTTTGGGGAAAAAGTCACTCTGGATACAACTAACTGAGCTGATAAAAAAGTGGATTTCTTTTAGGGAAAATTAGGCTAAACAGTCACCCAGTTTTGTTTTGTTTTTTAATGCTTCCTGCTAGTTGGTGTCTTAGAGGAGTTTAAATAATAGGAAATGTGAGGGACAGAAACTGAAGTCTACTGCCAGTAAACCTTTATGTGGAGGGCTGTAATTCACAGTATTAAAGAATACACAGGTTTAAGTCATGATGTAGGATATCTAAACAATAAATATCTATATGGCTATATAAATTTTTGAGGCAAAATTCTAATTTCTCATAGATTTCTATGTTTAAAATTTTAATGGTGTAATAATGCATTTTATGATTTTGGATTACAGAGTTACTTAAAAACACTGTTATTCTTAAAAACAAACAAACAACAACAGCAACAACAAATAACTAACCCCAGTGTTTTGAGCTGAGTTCCCTTAATAAAAATTCTCTTTCTACAGCTTAGTTTAAGGCCTATATTTAGAGTTTTCCTGACACTTACAGAAAGGTTTATGTAGAATTATTCTAAAAAAAGGGCCTCTCCATCTTGTGATTTTTGGGGTAGTATCCATCTTAGATTCCTTACGCAGTTTCTTGATTAACTATGGAGTTCTCAAAGACATTTTTTGTCCATTCGCTCAATGGCTCACAAAAACCCCACCTGGATGAGAACACTTCTGGATGATATATTTGATGGT